TTAGGGTCGAGTTAGTATAAATAGAAGTCTTAGTGTTAGGATTTCAGTGTGTCATATCTGTTATACAAAATACTCAATAACATTCAAACTACCACATGGCAAGGGAAACGAATGCAAGAGAAATGTATGTATGATAGCACCATGTATTTCTAATTTAATAAAAGCCTTTTTACTATTTCCAGCACTTTCCTTCTTTTTCTTTCTGTCGAATAACATTTGCAAGTTTCTTTATCTACTGTCTTTTCATTTCAAAGTCTTTTCTTCAAAGTTTTACATTTTACTGCTTTCTTTATATTTCGAGCACTCTATATTTCAGAGAACTTTTACGCTCTCAATACCTTTACTTTCAAGTATTATTCTTCAAACATGTACTTTCACTTAAAGTCATTTCTAGATTTCTTGCATTAAACGCTTTCTTCACATTTCAAACTTCCACATTCCAGAAACCTTTTGTGTTAAATGTTTTATGGGTCAAAACCAGTTACTTCATTTTCCATACAGTTTTATATGTCTTTTCAATCAGCATTACAATTAGCAATTATTCGTATAACTTAGTTTTCACATACATTTTGACCACATTTTTAAACTCTTAGAGAGAGGGATCGAAATAAACCAAACATTTGTACAATAGCACCCATGAATAATTGTTCGATTGTGAGAGTAACCTTAATATCCAAGGAGTCCTAGGATCAATCTAGTCGATCCTGTGAGTTACCAAAGAGATTGAGTAGCGTTAATAAAGATTATTCGATAGTTTGGAAGACTAGCGGTTGTTTACCAGAAATCACTGGAAACACCCATATACACACTTTTTGCCTGCTCGTACTATCACTCACTTTAGCATCAAAGTGCCTTGCAGGTACCCCCATCTCGTTCAACTTCTGCTCGGAGCCAGTCGTGACGGTCCAAGTCTGATCAGGTAAGATTATATATATATATATATATATATATATATATATATATATATATATATATATATATATATATATATATATATATATATATATATATATATGTTATATATATATGTTGTCGTTAAACATTATGATGTGTTAGTACGAATTAGTATTATATGTAATATTATTCTAGATGTATATTATATGTGTGATGTTACTCTTTTGTTTACGCGAACATTAACATAAATTTTTGTAATTTTAAGCTTAAAAAAATATGATATTTACGGATCCATCCTATTCCACCCTTATTTTTTTATAAAGTCGATAAAGATTAAAAATTCACGTCCTACACAATTTCTAGATTATCCCGCTCTATTTTTTATGAACTTTTATTGAGAGAATTATCCGTTTGTCACTCCCTTAGACAATTATATCTTAATAAATTAATTAGACAAATTAAAATGTACTGTAATTCTTAAAATGGTAGAAAAACATTTTTATCTTAGCAAGTTTTTGTATACTTTCTAAAAAGTTTATATAGTGGACTAGATTAGGTGTAATGACGTTGAAAGAAAATGACATGGTAGCAAGAATATAGAAACCATTGTAAAGTAAATAAAATGATTAAATATATTTTTGGTCAATAATATATAGTTGTTTTTAATTTTAATTTCTCTAAACATTTTTTTAAAGAATAATTCATTTAAAAATTTTAATTTTAATTTTTTGTCCCTCATAATAAAATCTGAATTAAAATAGTTTCTAATTCTATCATTAAATAAAAAATCATCAGTAAAAATATCATTAAATTATAAAAAACCGTCACCTAACTTATAAAACACTATCACTAAATTATATAAAGATTAAAAATTAAAATTAAAATTTTTAAAAGAAACTAAAATTAATAATCAGTATAAATAGAAGGATAAAAAACTTATTAATGTTGGACACGAAAAGCATAAATTTGGCATGACCACCCAAAATCACAAATAATAACAAGAATAATATTCTGATTATCCAACAATTATACTCTACTAGATACTACTAGATAGATGCCATTGCTGTCTTCCACAAAGGCTTTCCTCCTCTTCCCCCGAATGTCACACCCCGCCACCAAAACGCGCCTCAGAGGCGTCGTTTTCGACATGGACGGCACACTCACCGTCCCCGTCATCGATTTCATCTCCATGTACAAAGCCGTCCTCGGCGACGACGAGTATCACCGCATCAAAGCCTCAAACCCTGCCGGAATCGACATCCTGAAACTCATCGACCACTGGCCTTCACATCAACAACGCCAAGCCTATGACACCATCGCCCGTTTCGAACAAGTCGCTCTCGATAAACTCCAAATCATGCCTGGTACTACCTGATTGCACTTTCCATTCTCTTCTTCGTTTGCGTTTTGTATCGATTGATTGATTGATTGATTTGATTATCCTGCAGGTGCTGCTGAGCTTTGTAACGTTCTTGATTCGAAGAAAATGAGAAGGGGATTGATCACGCGGAATATGAAGTCTGCGGTTGATTTGTTCCACCAACGCTTTGGGGTAAGTTACAGGAATTCAGACTTGGATTCAGTTCATATTTTGTTTCATGTTAGGATTCATAATGTCCATAAGCCGTAAATAAGTTGTTTATCCAAACAGGTTCTTAATTAAGTAGGGAATTTCGGACTTTTATAAGTCTTGATCTCTTTCACTATGTGTTACGTCTCTTTGCTGCAGATTACATTTTCTCCAGCATTGAGCAGGGAGTTTCGGCCTTATAAACCCGATCCAGCTCCACTACTGCATATTTGTTCTCTTTGGGATGTTCAACCAAATGAAGTAATAATGGTTGGGGATAGCCTTAAAGATGATGTAAGTAGTTTATTTTCTGTTAATTTGATTGGATATTCGTTTATATAGAAACAATGCTTGTTCACCTTTGATTACAAATGATTACAAATAAACAATTGCAAAATCAAAGGTAGAGAGATGCAGAACAATAAATGTTTTCATAACAAAATCCAGAAAGGATAGAAACATAACAAGCTATTTTAAAATTTTCATATAAAGTTTGTTATGCAATTTACTCATCAGTCTGCAAACATTTAGTGTGATTGCTTGTAATAGATGAATCCTATGACTCAGTCCTTTCACTGTGCATTGTGGTTTTTCGCATCACTTTATCCATATCAATTTTATGCCATTTCTAATAACGGCTTTTGATTCTATGCACATATTAGTTTCCTACTAAATGTTTATGGATTCAGATATACTTAAAAATTGGATGGTTAATTGATTGATGTTGCTTGTTTCTTATATACTATTATGCAGGTGGTTTGTGGAGGGCGAGCAGGAGCGCATACGTGTCTGCTTGATCAAACTGGAAGATACGATTCTCCCGAGTTTGCTAATGTTGATTTCAAACCAGATTTCAAGGTAACTTCTCTTGCTGAAGTTTACTCGATTCTGGAGACAAATTTTGAGTTGTCACCATGATGCCGAGTATCGTTCCCGTGGAGCATTTATTGTGGTATGTGATATAAGATTCTGGAGGAGATGACATATACATTTGGGGGTAGTTTTATTCCTCACCTCATGTAAGGTCATGAAAAAAATCATTGAAAATTTTAGTTGGAGGGTTTCATAGGTGAGATTTTTTATAATATTGTTGTAATATTTATTGGACAGTTAATGCCAAGTTTCATGGACTTCTTAGGGCGTGATGAATGCCACAAAATTGTGGTAACTTCCCAAAATTAATGTCTTCTGAATTGTAAATGATGCTAGTAGAGAAGAAATTGATCCTCAACTCAATTTATTCCAACATCTTTAACAACAACTCGTTCAGCCAACTTGATCAACATCTTCTACAACTCATAAAACTGGTACACAAATTTTGAAGTGGGGTAGTAAGGAGGATCCTTCATTCATTTCACGTTTCTCATCAGATGAATCAAGGAATAAAATTATCAGATAAATCAAGGAATAAAAATTATAATAACTAGTGCCGGTTTGATGGAGGAGAAACATAGGTAGGTTGGTTGATAAAAGGGATATCACCATAATATTCGGCTTCGGCATATGAAGTAAGGATTCAAGCAGCAACCACCTATTTGCCTGGTTTTTCTTTTTCCAATTGTTATTAGTTTTGATCAGGGATCAGAATGAAATAAAATGAATCGTCTATTTCATTCTTGTTTGAATATTTTAATCAAACATTTTAATCATAAAACCTCTTTTTTTTTTTTTCCATACATTTTAAATTGGATATAATGGATGGAAACTGGAGGATTGAATAAATGGAATAGAATAGAAATAATAAAATTTAATTATGAATTTAACTGGAATACACGGCCAATGCACAACAATTAATTTCTTTAATTATTATTTGGATTCAATTAGAAGGCAATTCAAATTTGGAAAAGTACAAATTTCATGTTTGTGATATTTTGCACCATGCTAAATTTTTCTTTTAAACGATTTACACTTAACAAAGATTCGAAACCAAAATTTTGAGAGGAGTATTATTGGCAATGGAAAGACTAACTTTTAGAGTAGCGACTAATATTAAAAGAGAGAAAAGACGATGAGCCGTAAAATAATAAATGCAATTATTGTTTTTTCAAAACATGCTTACGTCTGGATTACAAAACAACGGTAGTTTTATATTTTTACTTGAATACATTAAAATTATGAAATAAGGATTTCTACATTAAAAATGAAAGAACACTAAAATGACTAAATAAATGAAGATAAATAACTTTTTTATTCATTTTTTAATTTTGTCATCTCTTAATGAATATATACATAGTAGTAGTGGATAGTAACTAAATGTCCAATAACTAATTAAAGTTCAACTCAATAATATTTTAAGGTCTTAAAGAACATTCTAAAAAGCATTATAAATTAAATAACAATAATATAAATTATACTTCTAATTAATCATAAGTCTTACTCTATCATTGCCGTCAGATTCACTTGAACTTTGTCTTCAAAATTCTAAAATTACTCTCGAATCTCATTGATTAAACTGAACAATTATAACAGGAAATTTATTTTGAGACACTGGTGGAAGTGTTATTGTATGAGGTCCAATTCTATGGCAGCATTCATCTCACAATGTATGAGTAAAAAAATTAGCAGCTTGAACAGCAGCACCATAAGCCATAACCTCCTCAATGTTAATGCTCTTGCAAAGCTCCTTTCCATTGAAGAAATCTTGCAAAAGCTGTTGAACTTTAGGAAAAGAAGCACTTAGAAGCTCTATAGTATACTCTCGTACAAAAACTGCATTATTTGAGTATGAATATGAATTTGTAGTAACATTCTAGAGGGGCTCGGTTAGCAAACCAGTTTCCACCAGACAAAACAAATGCTGAAGCACCAAGACATGTAATTGGAGCCCAAGCTTATGAAAAGTATCAGTTAAGACAACAAATATCTCATTCTCAGTTGTCAAGAAATATGTCAGGTAGAACTGATTACAGAACTCTGAGCCCTGAAACTTCTTCAGCGTCTCCAGCAACAGGTTCAGACCAGTTTCAGCAATATTCCTTTCTTAAAAATCTTTTTATCCGAAATCTCTTTTTGTTGATACAATTTGTCCTCTTTGAGCTCCAACTTTTCATGCATATCATTAATTTGATTATCACTATTCTCAACCCTAGAATCTCTTGTTCCGAAAGTTGAAGCTTAAAATTGGAAACTCTTAACTCTTTCTCCATTTCAATGAACTTTTTGAGCAACTCTTCATGACTTCTGTTGTCCATCTCCCACGAAAAACCATCTTCATTGTTTTCCACCCAAACGAGCTGGTTTTCAGCTTCCAAATCAGGATAGTTTCCTTCAAGGTCAACATCCTGAAGGGACTCCTCAAGAATTACATGACAGTTGATAATAGATGAGATATCAGGTTCAGGATCGGAAGCCCATGATGACGTAGGTGATCCACAACCCTCCTTCGTAGAAACCTCAGAGCTAACATCACAGTCAGAGCAAGAAAATGAATCAATATTGAGTGGTTGAAGGTCACATTTTGGCACGGTAGTCATCTGATTTAGGATCGTCCCTACAGGCTCACAATTGCGAGAGTCCTCCATATGAGATTCAGAACGATAACACCACTAGTGGGTCTACGAGTGTTATTGTTTTCCTTTTCGGTTTTGGAAGATGTTAAAGGGTTGGGAGAAGGGACGTGGGTTTCCTGGAGGTGGGGAGAGGGGTTATGAATTTAATAGTTTTTTGAGAAGTTTGTTTAGATCTTTTCTTAAAAGAGACACAGGATACTTGCAAATGCTTCTCAAAATCTCTTCTAATAGTAGAGTGATTTTGATATTTGTGATTAAGTGTAGAGGTGGTGTTTGTTGGTTGTAGTTGTTGATGATAACTATTGTAGTAGTATGAAAAATGAGATGGTGAATAGGATGAATATGAGTTAGGTGGATGTGGTGTATATCCATGATTAAAATGCAAATATGAGTTTGTAACATGTGGATTTGTGGAATAAGATGAGAAAATTTTCCATGGAAAAGATGGAAATGAGGAAGTGATTGGAGATGTAAAAGAGAGGTTTGTGGGATAGGTAGGAGGAATGCTTCATTGATGAGATGAAGGTGTATGATAAGGATAATCCATATGAGGATTTGAGTACATGGATGAAAGCACCAATTGATAGGGAATTTTCCTATCAAAACTGTGAAATTAGGGTTTCTACACTAAAGAGGGAAGAACACTAAAATGACTAAATAAAATAAAGAAAAATAAATAATTTTTTCATTCATTTTCTAATTTTTCCATCTCTCAATGAGTACATATATAGTAATGAGTACATATATAGTAGTTGTGGATAGTAACTAAAGGTCCAATAACTAATTAAAGTCCACCTCAATAATATTTTAAGGTTCTAAGAACATTCTAAAAATCATTATAAATTAAATAACAATAATATCAATTCTACTTCTAATTAATCATAATCCTTACTCTATCAGAAATTATATATGTTATTACGGTGCAAATTACAATAATATTTGAGAATTTCTTTCTCCACCTTGTAGTGTTGAGTTACACCTCTGAAAACTCAAAAATAATATTCGGATATGCACATCTGAACTCACCTCACAACATGTTTTGGATATGCATATCTGAAGACACTCCTTTTCCATATTTTAATACTTAAATGTTGGATTTAAATTCTAGAGGTAGTTTCAGATATGCATATCTGAAACTACCCTTGCCATATTAGATTGTTGTATGGTCACCCATTCTAACTATTTCATTCATTTTCTTTCCCTTCATAACCAAAATCCTAAACAGAACTTCAACCATTCTCAATGAAATTTTCGTCTCCAAACCAAGTTTCAAGTGTTTGAGCATAGCAAAGAGAGCATAAAAAATTGTAATTTGAGGTAAACTTTCCTTATTTCATCTTACATTCCTTGCATTGATGCTGATTTATGGAAGAAAAAAACAGCGTCACTTCGAATATGCATATCCGGATTCAACCTACCATAATTCAGATGTGCATATCCGAAAACATGTATGTTACAAAAACAATATTTTGTTTAACAAAATTTATGTTGTTTTGGTCGTGTTAGGTATGATGCACCCCGATAATATTCCCAAAGCTGTCGTAAAGGTTCTGGACAAGGTCAATGAAGATGCTAAGCCAAATGAGACGAAGGACGTTGATAAAACGATTGATGTTGTGATAGATTTTGGACAATAATTTACAAATGATAAAAGTTTCACCTATCGTCAACATATACTTGAATGGGTTCGAATGGAAGCTAGCAAACTTGGGTTTGGCATTTTGATTGGAAGGTCCAACAAATAGAACTAGTAGAAGGAAACCATTTGTTGTGAATACGTGCAAGAGAAGTGGGAAATATGTTCCAAAACTTTGGAAGTTAAAACATGATGACACGAGATCGAGGAAATGTGAGTGTCCGTTTAAATTGCGAGATTATTGTAGGGTGGATACTTTGTGGCAGTTTAATATCATTTCTGGTATGCATAATCATGAGTTGGACACTAAGCTACAAGGACATCCAATTGTATGTTGGCTTAAGCCGGAAGAGAAGGAATTTATTTCAGAATTGTCGTTAATTAAAGTTGCGCCAAGAAACATACTTGTCAGTTTGAAACATAATAAACAAGAAAATGTTTCAAATATCAAGTCGGTTTACAATTATCCTTATAAATAACACATTGCACAAAGAGGTCAGAGGTCCAAAATGCAACATTTATTGAAATGTTTGGACGATAACCACTATGTTTCCAAGTACAAAGTTTGTGAGGACAACGTCAGTATTCATGACATATTTTGAACTCATCCAGAAAGTATCAAGTTGTTCAACACATTTCCAACCGTCCTTATGATTGATTCGATGTACAAGACCAACAAGTGTAGGCTTCCACTTTTAGAAATTGTTGGTGTCACCTCTATGGACAAGACATTGTCGGTTGAATTTGGTTTTCTGGAATGTGAGAAACAAGACAACATCACTTGGACGTTGGATATATGCAAGACTTCGTTGAAGGATCCATAAAATATGCCTAAGGTCATTGTTACTGACCGAGATAACGCCCTTATGAATGCGATTGGCAGTGTATTTCCTTCATCAACCATATTACTTTGTTGGTATCATATAACAAAAATGTGAGAGCTTGACTCAAATCCGCAATTGGAAAAAAAGAAGAAAAAAAGGGAGAAGACAAAAACATGATCAAATTCAGTGTTGTGGTTGAGAAGATAATGGGTGCATAGATTGATATTCTAAATTCTACTACAAAAGAGTTGTATACTGAGAAAATGGTACACTGTAGAAACTTGTATGTCGAATATCCTGATTTCTTGAAATATGTTGAATCTACTATACTTGATCAAATGAAAGAGAAAGATGTATGTGCTTGGACGAACTAGGTTAGATATTTGGCTAACACAACAACTAATAGAGTTGAATCTGCACATGCGGCGTTAAAGAAGTGGTTGTGTGATAGAAAGGGAGACCTTTGTAGAGAATGAGACATATTGAACCAAATGTTCCAAAACCAACATAATGAAATTCAAACAACTTTTGGTAGGAGCAAAATTGTATTAGAACACCGATTCAAAGATAAGACTCTCTACTCGCAGTTGGTTCACAACATATCCCGGGCAAGATTGAATTTCATTTTTCATGCAGCGAAGCGAGCGGAGACGAAAAGGCCAGATATTTTTAAGTGTGGGTGTATAATTAGGAGAATTTACGGGCTTCCATATGCTTGTATTATTTCTAAAAAAATGAAGCCCAGTTCCCCCATATGTATGGATGAGGTTTACACTCATTGGAAAAGACTGATTTGATGACTACGAATCAGAAAAGGAGGGTACATCCAATATAACCATCACAACTGAGTTGGAAGTGATAATGGATAGATTTTCTAAAGCTGGTGACTCTATGAAATTGCACATCAAAGAACATTTGAGAAAAATCTCCTTTTTGGAAACCACCAATTTTAAACCTCCTTCACAGTCGGTAAAAATCAAAGGTGCGCCTAAAAAGGTGAAAAGTACACAAGCTGACAGTTCAACAAAGTGGGCTCATTCTTACCATGAAATTGTTGATTCAATATTCCTGGATTCTCCAACCCCAAAATCCAAAACAAGTGTTAACAAGGGAGCTCACATTTCCAAACCACCTTGTACACCGCCTATTAAAAACAACCATAAACACCATCGATTATCTATATTGATGAGATACTACTTTTTATGCACAAACACATTGAAAGAATCGTGGAAGTGGAGAGTGATGGTAATTGCGGGTTTTAGACCGTGTCCGAGTTACTTGGTAAAAGAGAAGAAAATCACACTCTTGTGCGTCAAACACTTATTTCGGAGTTAACGATGCATAAGGAACTTTACACCCAACTATATATCACAACGAAAACATTCAATAAAGTTCACAATGCTCTTGTTCCAAGTGTTAGCGTCTGCGCACCAGTTGAAAAGTGAATGAGCTTCCCTGAAATGGGCCATCTTATAGCAAGTGTATATGAGAGGATATGTGTCGAATTGACGAGATATGGTTTTTCGAAAACATTTTTTCCTCTCCGGACTCCCTCGCCTAAAGATCCATCCGGCCGCATCATGTGTATTGGGTACCATAGATCACGTTATTTTGTTTAGATTTATTTGAAACTTGTGTGTCCTATTCCGACTACATTAGTGGAGTGGATGGCACATTTCACAAAAGAGGTGAAAACTTGGCCGAATCACTTTTTAGAAAGGATGGTAAAGTTTACCAATTTGATGGAGCTTGAGAGAGAGAATCAAATAGGGAAAAGTCGGAGAAAGAACCAATTTTAGATTTAAGCGGTGACAATTCGTCTGGTGCATTTTAGAATGTAATCGAACCATTTTTTGAATGTATTGTCGTACACATTATAAAATTTATACGATTCAATACATATAATGTCCGACTATATTTAGTTTTATAACTGTTTATTTTTCCATGTCTCTTTGGTACAAATAATGATGCTGATTCTGGTTTTGCATAATTCAGATATGCACTTCCGAATTAACCTTCAATTTAAAAAAAATACATGGCTTATTTCGGATATGCACTTTCGAATTATCCTCTTATTTTTATAAAAACGTGGTGTTTTTGGATGTGTATATCCGAATAAGGTTAATTCGGATGTTCATATCTGAAATATGTCCTGATAGTAGGATAAGATTTCTTGGGTCCAAATTGCTCCATAAAGTATATAAATAGGGTCTCCAAACCATTTCATCAACATCCCAAACCACAACCAGAAATGACTCAAACGTATCCTCACCTTACTTTTGTCAACTTCAGTGGTGCGCAGTCGCCACTTCAATTCAGATTCTCACAGGACACACCGTTCGCCGAGCTTATTACCATACTAAATTCCCTCTTGCAATATCCAGAGAATCGATAGATGGTCAAGCTTGAGTATCGTTCACCCTCACCTCACTTGACACTGAAGGAAACGTAAAGTTCACCCCGTTTGAGCTCAAGAACGACGACGATTTAGAGGTTATATGGAGTACTTTTCAACGATACTCTTCTAAGGGTTTGATTGAGGTGGATGCGAA